AATATATTTATGTATATATGCAAGATAAAAACCTCTTCTAGAGAAGTTTTCATTCGTCTCATGAATACGACTTGTCGGAAATAAGGAAGAAATGAACGAACGAACGCTAAAGAAGAAGAAGAAGAAGAAGAAGAAGAAGAAGAAGAAGAAGAAGAAGACATAGTAACAGCAGTAGTAGAGAAAAAGAGATTCAAAGAGAGAGAGAGAGAGAGAGAGAAAGAAATAGAAGGAAAAGAAATCTGATGGGAAGGAATGAAACGGCAACGCACGAAATTTCTCTACTTTAGTCAGGATGCTCTTGCGGATAGATATTGTAGCAGGATGAGAGTAGGAAAGCGAGAAAGAGAAAGAAGGTTTTCGGCCGGGAGGCCTTCGTATCTCCACGCGCGCGTTTCATGGTTTGTAAATATTACCTGCCACGAGATGTCTGCCGAGTTCATGCTCGGCTTGGTTGCCGCGTAACCGAGAGCCGCTGCTTGCGATACGGAAAGAGCTAGCGAGATGAAAGAGAAGAGAAGAGAAGTAGTAGGAGTAGGAGAAGTAGGAGGAGGAGGAGGAGGAGGAGGAGGAAATAGGTGGTGGAAAGAGGAGAGAAGCAGGAGGCGAACTCACCGAGTTTTTACCCCATTCTGGAGTCTGAGTGCCTCGCTCTGCTGACTCTCGAAACGGGTTGCAGAGCCAACCCTTACACGGTACCACACACTTTGCCCTCCACCCCGTTCTACCCTTTCTCTCTCTCTTTCTCTCACTTTCGTACCTCTCTTTCCTTCAACCCGGTCTCCTTCAGCTTTCCGCATTTCTCTCCTTTCTGCATCTCTCTCTCTTTTTCTCTTGGTACATACACAAACTCACAACGACCACACGCATTATATATATATATATATACACAACACACAAGTTTTCTACCCGATCTTACTTCAACCTTCTTTTTACCCTTTTCTCTCTCTTTCTCTCTTTTATTTTTTTTTCTTACCAACCTTTCAACCAACACCATCAACTTATGTGAACTGTCAGCTCAGGGGCGGATTGGAACACCGTTGAGATTTTCGATAAGATAGGGCCAACCTTTCCGAATTTTCCTTCTACCCTATTTTTCTAAGACAATTTTTTTTACAATCATTCGAATCTTGTGTGCTTTCTCTCCTTTCATATATCGATATACGATTTTATCTATCGAGTTAGCTTCCCTTTTTGGAAAATCGAATTTTCGTTTAGAATCGATTCCGAATCTTTGCTTCCATCCCGAAGATCATTAATGTTTTAAATGGACAGACACAAATAACGTCTTCAAATAATCACCTGCTTCTTATCGTTTTATTATTCTTTAGATTCCAGAACGAAGGACTCTCTTTCATTCGTAACTAAATACACCGCGTTTATTTTTATCTCACATTTAAATGGAAACCATTCGTCTGAGATTATTCGAAGAATAAGTAGGGGCAAATAAAAATTCCGCGTGCCTCATTTCACCGTTTTTTTATTTCCTTGAAAAAATATTTTAATTACGATATTACGTTTTATGCTTTGTGCATCATTTCTTTCATGCTTCATCTACCCCTTTATTACTTGCATCTACTCTTATCCCAGCTTTCAGCCGAGGTGTCAAGATGATATTGCCGAAGCAACGTATGCTACAGGATTCTTTGCAAAGAGTGTCGTCGTCGTCGTCGTCCTCATTGGTTGGATTTAATCCGTGCTATCCATGTTCTCCGTTTTATCTTATACCCTTGCCACCACTTAACAACTTTTTTCTCTTTTTCTTCTCAGGCATGCCCTTATTGCAACGTGCCGCGGAGACCATTAACTCGCGTTCCTTGCCCTCAGGGACGTACTGGAATGTCGTGAAAATCACGCGTTCACAACCTCTTTCGATGTTTCTCGATATTTACTTCATTAGTTCTTTCTTCTTTTGTTTTTCTTTTTTATGAATTTCAATTTAAGCAATCGTATTAAATATTGTTTATTTGCTATTCTCCTGTTTTCTCTTTATATATACAAATTATATTTATTTTGTGTATGTGTGAATAAAAACGTCTATATTAATTCTTTCAATATTTTCTAAAAGGTTTGTACAGATAGTAATGCGATTTTCACGTGACTAGAAATTCAAGGTTCTTTGATAGGAATTTTCGAAAGTTCCACCTTCTCTAATAAGCTTATTCTCTATAGACGTTTTATATACTACAATTTTCGAGTTTTCTCTTTCTTCCTTAACTATTTTCCACTAGCTTCAACCAAGTTCCAAGGAATCAAAGCAGAATGACGCGCTTTTCCTTCTTCGAGTAAAGTTTCCTCGAGAAAATGTACGGAGGTCGTTTGTTGTGTCGAGAACGATCATACGAATTCCCAAATCGAAAATAGGTTGGTGAATTTAACATCTTTTCAACGTATCTAACTGGGTCGTGAATTTTAAACCGACTCTTATGTAAGTGGACCTTATGATAAATATTAGTTTTAATAGGGAAAAATATCAAGTTTCTTGTATATTATTTAATCGAAATAATTGCACCTATTGTACAAAGTTCGAACATTGATCAGTCTCACGTTTGAAAATAGAATAGTTTTATCGATTGGTCGAAATAATTTATTCGTTCGACTCATCTAAAATTAAAACGATCCAAAAGTCAAGTGACGCATCTGCCGAGCTCGTATTTTACGTTGAAACTTGTATATGTCGGTCTCGTTTACCCTGTGACTTGTGTAAATAAGATCGAGAAATATTCGGCAAATAAAATATATTGTATTTAGGTCTACCGGAAAGTTCTGTCCGTTTTTGAATTGAAAGAAAATAACACACAATTTTCATACATTTAATAATATTTATTGTAGAATATACTTTCCATCGTTACTTATGACTTCTTGCCAGCGTGATGGCAACTTGTAAATGCCAAAATGATTTATTTTTAGAGGCGAAGAACTCTACACTATCGGACAAAACTTTTCGGTAGACCTAATATATATAGGAGGTACTGGTGTATAAACCATCAACTGTGATATCACGTATCGTTTATTTTTCTAAACAAAATTGTGAAGAGAAAAAAGTTTGTTTTACAATATTTTTCTATGTTTCCAAGACCTGCCAATTTTCCCAGGTTTTTCTCGGATTCATAAACGAATCTAACATTTTTATATTTCCAGTGGTGAGCCAACCTTACGATCCCGAAGTGCAAAGTCCAGGCAGTTTTCCCGGCAACAATGTACTTATGCGTTGTAGTGTGCCCAGTTTTGTACGAGACCACGTCACCGTAACTTCCTGGTTTCAAGAACCAAATTTCAACATTTATCCAACTCCGATGAGCGGTGAGAAGATTATTTTATATTTTTTTTCTAATTTTTGATCTATAAATTTAAAGCAACAATGTAGCCTTTCATATCTCGAAAGTTATGTTTGAACTTTCAAATTCTTAGGGAAAAGGAAAGAATAAGAGAAGAAATTTTTGTATGAGAGGAAAAAAAACTCGAGTGCTTGGTTATTTATAAAAAAAATGAAAATATAAAGTAGAATAAAAATGATATCGCAGTTTTCCGCGATAGCTAGCGGTAAATCGAGTCTCGTGTTAATTATATTGGTATCAAAGAAGTGATTTTCGCGATAGCGTGTCAGAAATGAAGCTTTCGTTCGCGATGTTATACCATGGAGCAATTAATGAGCCGGCTGCTTCGTTGATTATAAACGAGATTGATTAAGCTACGCGAAAGCAGTTTGACTGCTTCGATCGATATTATAACTCAAATTATCAATAACCGCGTTTACTTCGATAGCTTTTGATCGATAGTTTCTTCGATAAAATTAGAAGTTTTGATATTCGAAAATGAAGTGAAATTATATGGAAGCTTAATCACGATGGAAAATGGGTTAACGTTAAAAATTGATATACGCGCTATGTAACATTATATAAAGTATTATGCATAAATAAAAATAAGATAGTTAATTAATCGGTAACGGTGAAAATGAAATATCGGTATCGAAAATGATGGTTTTCGTTATTATTAATTAGTTATTCGTCATCGTTATAACGTTTCACGTTTAATCTTAATTGCTATTTATTTATGTATAAAATCGAACGTTATTGCCAATTCCAATCTCATCATTTGAGAAGATTGTTGAGCGTTGTATGATCGAAGTTTGATGTGTGTTTGTAGATGGCAAATATCACATGCTTCCGAGCGGTGAACTGATGATAATCAATATTACCCGGACGGATGCACAAATGACTTACCGCTGCAGAACTCATCATCGATTGACCCAAGAAACGGTCGTCAGTAGCAGTGCTGGTCGGCCACAATTGACTGGTTAGTAAATACCTTTCTCTTCTTTCTTGAAATTTAATCTTCGAACGACAGGACTTCGACAATTGATCGAAAAAAGTTAGGTCAATTCTAAAGATTCTATCGAGAAAAATTATTCTTCCTTACTAGTTTTCTTTTTTTTTTTCATTTACTTCTTCTCATGCCAAAAATAAATTTGCATCTGTACCCAATTCTGTTCTTACACGAACTTTTTTTTACATGATTTTAATTTATATAATAAGATAATTTTATATATATTACTTTGTCTTTATTGTATTATATAATATTTTTACTGATATCTTATAGAATTACCAACCAATCTTCTGTTTTTCGGCGAATTTCGTGTAAGAACAAAATTAGCTGTATATGTATTTTTTTTTTTTTTAAATATGAAAATATTGTTCTTATGTAAAAGAAAAGTAAGTAACTAGGATAACGTGAAGTCTTATTAAAAGATAAGTTTGAGTAATCTTTTAGGATTAAAGAATTCGTAGACATTTCTCGAACTCCGTGCATGCAAGAATGTTAAAGCTCCCTTCTCTCTCGCACTTTGCGAAATCGTTCTTAATAACGACCACGTTTCCTCGGCCACGAAGTGTAAGTTCATTGTTCGTGATAACCGGAGCATTACTATAATTCATTGCAGCACTTATTACGAATTCGCGAGTTAAAGTGAACGTACCGCGGTCTGGGCCACGCTCCGACCGTTGTAATTACAAAATGGTGAATATTACTGTCGGCTTACGTTCGTGGTTCATTACTAAGGTGTACTCTCTTACTATTTATTCAACGATTACTTTTACCATCTAATACGATGTTTACTAAATAATAATTGGACTATTTTCTTATTTATTCCAAGCTTACATTTATTATTTATTTTTTTTACAAAATATCTTACATTGAACTAGAAGTTATTTTGTTTTGTTAATGATAAATAAAAAAAGAATTTCTTTTTTCCCAAATGATAGTTTGATAAATCCAACTTTTTAACTGTTTTTTGTGTTGTTATGCCACAATTTATCGTCATACGCTTCAACTGGACAACTTAAACTTAATATACCTTTCAAATTGAAATTACCAGAACGAATTTCGAAAAACATTACTTAACCGATTGGATCACAAGAAGGTTTTAAATCACAATTGAAATGTCTCTTGGTAGAATGTATTTTACTTTCCGAACAACTCAATAATTTTTTTATTTCGTTAAAATGCGAAATTCATTAATTTATGAAATAACCAACTACATCATAAAATAATTATACTGACCTATTAAAATATGAAAGAACTTAAAATTAAATATTTTAATTATGTAATATAAGAGAGGCGAGCAATTAGTATATGAAATTGATATTTGATTGATAAAGTAGATCCGATAGAACAGAACAACTAACAGAACATTGATTTTCAAAATAGTGGAAGAAATAAGAACGGATAACTGTGAGCATTGTGGTTGAAAGAAAAGCGAACTTTTAGAAGGATCAAATTTCATTCTCATACTTTAACTACTCGTCTGTAGTAAATTTATATCTTACGTAATTGAAGTGCATAATAAAATTCTTTTTATATGCTTTCTCTAAAATGCTTATTTATTTCGCGTAAGATCTAAGTTTTTCATGAATCAACTGAATTATACACTTTAATGGTAACATTTATATATATTATATAATATACGATTTTCACCACATCGATATGTTTTGAATTTTCAATATTCATATATTAGAATTCTCGCTCTCTATGGGAAACTCGGTTATTCAAAGACGGTTGTGTCATATGGGTATTCAAGTACATATACATATCCTTCAAGTATGGTATTACGAAACATGCATAGAAGAAAACCATTCATGTTTCTTTATCAGCAATATTTTTATAAAGAAGAAATAAATATGAAGAAGAGAGAAGAACCTTTAGATACTTCGTACGAGAACGAAGTTCAATTTTAAAAAGGATAAACTTCAAACAAATTCGAAAAAGATCGTTCTGAAGAAATATTTCTTTTATTCTTTTTTTTTCTCTATTTGTTTTTGTTCTTTTTTGCTAGCTAGCTGGCTCGTTATAAAATTTTATTTTCCATCGATGAAAATGATATTTATTGAAAAAATGAATAAAAAATAAAAAAGAACAGCAGAAAAGAAAAAAACAGAGAAGCCTACGGGTTCTTTCACATTGAATCGCTGTTGCACCCGATGGTTGGCCGATTTCAATTAAATGTTTACTTTGACCGACAGTTAGTTCGTTCGATAGCTTGCCAATTATGAGTGAGTTTTGTACATTCGGTACGATCGTTGGGAATCAAGAGAGAACCGTTTTGCCCTAGGCATCTTGTTCTCGTGATACTGCCCATTGTACCGGTTCTCTCTATATCGTCGAAAACATCGAGAATCGATCCTCGAATGTATATCGTATAGACATTTTTCTTGTCTCGTTTTCTATTTTTCTTTCTTTCATCTCATTTTTTTTCTACTTTATATTCCTGCAATATAGAGTAGCATATTATTTGTCACATTACTATTGTATTTACCGAGATTATTTTTTTTTCCATTAGTTTCGCCAATTAATGTCAGGAAAAAAGACAAACATTGTATCGCTTTCTTTTACCTGACCCTTTTTTTTCATCTTCTCTTTTCCATTTTATTTTCTTTCTTCCCCTTTTTATCTACTTCGTATTATATTTCACGAATATCGTAATGAATCTTACAAACGATCCTATTATTTTTATCACGAATATTTTCTACGTTCATTTTATAATTAATTTAAAAGTAAGAAACAAAACACAGAGAGAGAAAAATATCGTAGTTTTTTTGTGCCTCTTTTCGACATAATACAACGATTTCCGAGTATTCGGTAGGGGAAAAAAAGAGAAGCGAAACTACGTTTGAAAGTAGAATTCCTCGTGTATACGTACTTTAAGTTCTTCTATTTTTCGATACAAAAAGCATACGAACGAAGATTAACAAGAAAAGGAGAGAAGAGAGAGAGAGAGAGAGGGTAAAAAGAGCGTGAAAAATAAAAGCTTCTAGGGTAAGTTTTCTCTGTTTCATCCTGATCTTACATGACGTTACAAAGTTCCATTTGGCATACGTTTTCTACATCCTTTCTCTCTCTATCTCTCTCGCTCTTGTTCTGCTATTTTTTGTCAAACTGCATTCGCAGCAACTGCTGCTGCTGCTTCCACCGAGAGTGGAAAAGCTAGAGAGCATCGTAGTTTCGATGTCGTGTGCGAGAAACAAATATCGGTCTCGTTATTGTGCTTTATCACTGTACATATCGTCGACTCTACTATGAAACCAACGACAATGAATATTTTTCGAATGATTCTTTTGTTAGTCAAGGTTATCCCGTGCAATTCGATATTAGAGTTGTGTGTTGACTATGCGTTAAATAAAGTACGTTCGATCGTTTGAAAATGTTGCTTAATGTTTAAAAGAGTAGGAAAGATAGAATTTTATCGAAACACCTCATATAATACATATCATAATGTTCGTTAAAGAAATGAAATGAAGAAAAAAAAGAAGGGGCCAGCTAGTAAAGGCAAAAACATAATTGTTAACAAGTTTGTAAAAATATTCAGTGTAACGCAACGAGAACGACGAAAATGGAATGAGATTCGTAAAAGCTCACTAGTGACTGTTTATTCTCGTTGCATATAAACATGAAATTCCAATTAAAATGGAAAACGCGATGGAAAGTCATGCGTAAAGAGAAAAGAGAAAGAGAGAGAGAAGGGAAAAGAACATACGAGTTTCGACTTTCATAAACGAAAGATCTTGCTGTATTGCAGCATTTTAAACGTAATTATTCGTCACAATATTTGTATAAAATAAAAGTTAAACGGTAGCACATATAATTATAAACATGATTAATTTAAATTTCTACCTAAAAAAAGGACTGCGCGTTAATATGATACTTATTTGTTTTTTTTGAAAAAATATGTATAATTAGAATAATATAACAATAATAATAATTATTATTACTGGCATAAATATGGTATTGAATTAACGTCATATTTGCTTGTAAACGGTTGTCAAAGTGCTTTTCGAAAGATAAAATGATCTTCCGGAAGAGGATCAGCGGGTCAAAAGGGAGTTTCGTTTAATTTACATCCTCAATTACTAATCGATTGATGCGATATTAGAAATTGAATAGCGAGGTATAGCTTTTGAGAGAGATGTCTGATAGGGAAACTAAAACGAGAAAAAGAGAAAGAAAAAGAGTGGAAGAGGTAGTAAGTTTAACACGTTCCGTGCCACGTGGGACGCATACACTTTATGCAAAACTTTCCGTTCAAGCTATTTGATATTTTCATTGTAAAATGAAGAGTAATGTTTAGCCACGTGTTTGTTAAAACAGTTTTTAGGACAATAAATACCTAACTTTGTTGTCTTATGTATCTTAAGCTTATATACGTTATTTTTGATTATTATGATCTTTTTACTATTTTAATGATTGCAAAGTATATATATGTCAAAAGTATAATAATACCGAATAAGCATAAAACGTGGTAAGAAAATATTTCAGGTTAGTGGAATGTAGTAGAAAAAGAAGGGGGATAGGAGGGAAAGAAGAAGCGAGAGAAAGAAGATGAAGATGGGGAATAAGAAGAAGAAAAAAGAGGGTAGGAAAAAAGGAGGGAGAAAGCCCTTCCATTCGAGTCGGGCTAACTAATGATGCTTCTCTTCGCATGCCATAGTCTACACTCGAGGCTTACGCGAAGCCTCAAATGTGCTTGCAACTGCTGTAGTTTCTTACTACAGTAGACCTGTCTCTCTCTCTCTCTCTTTCTCTTCCTTCATCTTTGTTACCGAGTTCCTTTAGTTTCCCTATTAATTCACGACGAGGCTATAGTGTAATATTTCAAAGGAATATCCGTAGCTTACTTTTTCTTTTTTCTTATTTGTTAATTTCTTGTTTATCTTTGTTTTTTCTTTCTTATCTTGTTTGTCTTATTTCTTTTCGTTCTCTCGTTAACCTTAAACCCTTCCCTCGGCGGATATCATCCACACCCACTTTTCGATCGGAGCAACGTCACGCGCCAGTTGATAAGCCGGAACAGCTGCCGAGGAATAATTAATATCGAGAAGCTTAATCTGAGATCCTCAGGCACGCTTTAACCGTCTTCTACCAATGGTGCCTAGTAATCGTACAGTTAAAGCAAACGGAAGGCGTGCGAGGCTTAAATCGTGGCTTAAGTTGGAAATCAGGATCTAAGAGAGTACTCGATTTTAATGTAGAGATACGATAGATCGATTTCATCACACAATATTTTTCTAATAAATATAAAACTTTTCTTTTCATTATGTTTATTATATTTTTGTAACAAATCTCGAAGATCGAATATTATTACGAATCAATAGAAATGTTCATTTCAATTTCCGGAAGTTAAATGTATTCATTCGCGCAGTCGCGTTTCGTGTCCACCACCACCAAGATCAGTGTCGCACTGGCTGCCAACAGGGAGATAGAAATTTATGCTAAGCACACTTACGTACTTAATAACTTAATAATGAAGTTCAGGAGAGAGGAATTTGATCGTTTGCATGTTCCACGACAGCTACTATATTTCTCTCTTTCTCATTCTCTTTCTCTATCTCTTTCTCTTAGGCTCTTATTCGCTCGGTCTGCCGTTTACTAGATTAAGCAAAACCTTGATGTACAGCAGTTTTCAAGAGTAACGAGGGAACTTTTCGAGTACCTATATTATCCGTTTCGTAAATCTAAACTTAGTTGAAACGTGATATTAATTTTATCAACGAATAAGTTTATTGCGTTCTTTGATATTTGATTTTCTAGTATACAGTGAGTCACCGGAGTATTTGTACCCGTTTTAAATTTTAATTTTAAATAATTCATATTTGCGTTTAATGCGCAGCTTCATAATTCTTATACGAAAATACCTATTTCAGTATTATTCAAGTTTCTAATTGATATGAATTTTATCGAAGAAGAGAATATTTTATATTGTTGAAAAAATATTATTTTATTTAAATGATAAAAAATTGATCTTACAAGAGTATTTTTACCTATGTAAGATAATTATTATTTTTATAAGTAATACTCACTCGGTTGATCCTTCCTTGCATCTTATAATATTTTTCAAACGATTATACATATCTTGTAAAATCAATTTTTCCATCAGTTATGTAGAATTTCACTTTTCTTATAATAACATGCTCTTTCGCAATGAAATTTATATCAATTTAAAAATGTAATAATCCTTAAATATGTTCCCTTATGTAAGAATTCTAAATATTGTATTAGGAGAAAATATGAATTATTTTAAATTGACAATAATGTTCGAACTAATTGTATATTATAAATATTATAAGATATCTTGTTTTAATGAACAAATAATAGCCTATGAACTATTATAACTTTTCTTACAAATTATCAAGGGAAAAAATAACCTGGACAAAACTCTTTCGGTGGATAAATCATAATGTCCATGAAAAGGAGTTAAGAGGAGAGTAGATTCTACGTTCCTATATTCTCGTATAACCATATATCGTACGTTCTCGAAAAGGACGGTGAAATAACTTCGTTACGTTACTACCTAGCGCAATGAAAAAGTTAGAGGTACGTCCATATATGGATAACAATGGAATATAATAATAGAAGAAAATGCTATTTGAGGAAAATCAGGCAAAATCGCGAAAAAGGGCAAATTAAATTTTTGTCTAACTCCTACGTTAGCTCGCTCGCTCGTTCAACTTTTTCCGAACTAACTTTTGGATTTACATGGGTGTTTCATTTCATTTTATTTCATTTTTCATTTCTCTTTTTCTTTTCTTTTCTTTTTCTTTTTCTTTTTTAGTTTTTTTTAATAACAATACTTTTTTCTATTTTATTCTTTTAAATACTTCGTTCCCGTTATTTTGTATTAGTCGAGAATATTATTTGATAAACTTTACAAAGAATTAAATGTAATTAACAATGAGCTACGTCTTTCATTAATACTTTATCTTTTGCGTAAAGTATCAAAGTCGTGTATAATTATCCAAAGAAATAATTAGCCGTATTAATATTATCTGTTCAAAATTGAATACAATGGTATGTTTCATAATAATCTTACGCAATTGTCGTTCGTGATATATTTATTGGGTTTGTTCAATGTTTCCAAATAAATTCATACGTTCATATTTCCATCGTAGAAAGGAAATTAGATACTGACGTTTTGCTTTTTCTTAATTTTCTCTTGGTTTTTATCTTATACCAAAGGCAACACTCTAGACGCATTGGCATTTTTATTAAAAAAGAAATTATAGCCGGGAGCTTAATATTCTATTTTTATCAAAATTTCATATTTCATCGAGCCAACGGAGAAAAGATGAATGCTCGCTAGGAGGAAGAGAAAAAAAGATTGAATAAAAAAGAAAAAAAGGGAAAGAAGGGGAAAGTATTCGCGTGTCATTTCGCACGGACGAGCATGCACCTAATGAGAAATCATTCTGTTCGAAACGTTAGTTAAGTTTGCTTTAGAGATACACGAACAAAAAAGGAAAAGAAAAAAGAAATAGAATTGAATCCACGTAATAGAATGTTCTCGTTTAAAAAGCTAATTAATAATTAACTCACGAAATTCGATCAATGGTCTGTTTTGTAAATAAAGTCAATCTTTTACTCGAATTCCTTTTATCTCCTTTTTTCTTTGTTCGAGACAAGAGAAAAGTATCAGTATCACGTCTTTCCTTTCGAGTATTCTACCAAGTAAAAATGTCATTAACGCGATTCAACATTTAGGGTGAACGGAGCTAACATAATTCCCCATTAAACGTTTCGGATCAATGCTCTCCGCTATGATGCTCTTGCTCGCTCCATTGAAATCTTCTTTCTATCTCTTTTTATCTCTTTCTTCAGTCCATCCAGCTTTTCTTCCGGCGTGCCGGTTCCTTCCTTTCATCGGCGAGAGGATCCATTGTCCCTTTTTTCTTTTCCTTTTTTCTTTTCCAAGCTATTTATGACACGCCGTGGAAAACATTTCCCGTATATCACGGAACAAACTTACATGAACTCGTCCTAGGGGAAGGAAAGGAAGCTTGCTTTGGTTTCAACAGTTTGAGGGAGAGAGAGAAAAAGATAGGTAGAAAGAAATAAAGAAGAAAAAGAGGATGCACGAAGACGCTGAAAAATCCTCGCGTATGCTGTATTAAAGAATATCCTACGAAAAGGATCATTCGAGAATATTTCCTAATCTTTCTTTTTTTCACTTCTTCTTTTCTAAATCTCTTCAACGACGTTCTTGTTATGAATTTTTCTTTCACTACTTTTCTTCCCTTCTTTTTCGTTTCGTTTCGTTTCGTTTCGTTTCGTTTCATTTCATCTCGTTTTTTACGTTAACTTTTTCTGTTTTTTTAATTATTTTAATGAGATCGCACGTTTATATCCTTCATGTTGAAAATTTGTATTAAATGTTCCGCGAAGGACTGAACCTATCAACGAAATTTGTTTATTAATTTATTTTGATACGGCGGGACGCATCGTGCGGTGCGGTACGGTGCAAATTTTATTTTTTAACGTTGAATGCTCATACAGACTTTAAATATGAAATATAATTTTGTTGAAAAATGTTACAAAAATTATATTATAAATTCGTGTATTTGTAAACTTCATTCTGAGCGTAAGAAATCGCTTCTTTTATTGTTTTTTTGTTTTTTTTTTTTTATAGTCTGCCGGTTGTTTAACATTTTTTACCCTACCTTTCTATAGAAAACAAATTTGTAAAAAAGAAATATTTTAAATATAATTTATATTTCTTTTTATTATTATTCAGTCGTGAAAGTCAGCAATGTAAAAACGATTTTTCAAACAATTTTCTACGTTTGCTGGGAGAAGGGGGGAAAATATTGTACATTTGCCGAACGAGTTACAATAAATCATTTCTTCGTAACGTTAATAAAAAAGAGTTTTGGTTGGTTCTCCTAGAAATCGAATCGATCTTTAATGCGTCGACTGTTGGAGGACGTTGCAGAGCAATATTTCTTCTCTTTTCTCTCGTGTCTGTAGCACGGTAGCTCTCAAACTTTCGTCTGACTCCAATTACTTCTTCTTTATTCTACCGTTCTACCTACTTGTATGGAATAAATTTTCCGTATATATCAGGGGAACAAACTTACATAAACTCATCGCGGGAAAGGAAAGCGAGCATGCGAAAGAGAAAAACAAGAAAGAAAGAAAGAGAGAAAGAATAAGACCCCGTTTTTTTTTTCTTACCTCGAGAAGGTTGACGTTAAAGTAAGGAACGAACAAACGAACGAAGACACCCCTTCTTTTTAGTCATTTTTGAAATGTTATTCTACCATGGCGTATATATTCTTTTTGTTTGTTTAGATGTTTTCTTTTTTCTTTGCGGAAAATACATTTTTCAAACTTATCGTCAACATTAACCCGTGCAAAAGTTTTTTTTTTCTTTTATCGTATGCATCGTTAGATAAGGTGATGCATCTTCATTATGCATTCAGAATCAATTACACGGAATGAATGAGGTAAAATAGGTCAGGCGAATATCTTTAACAATTTTCAAAATGTAGATAAGATGTTTAAATATTATAAACGCGAATAAATGTTTCTTTTTTCAAATCGTCAATTGTATGATTTCAAATAAATATTTAAAATTATGCAAATCAAATTTTTATACTCCGATTAACTCTGTATTGCAGTTGCATTAATATTATATTTTTCAATGTAAGCTTTTTAAAAATCTCCTCCACCTCTCCAATTTTACAGTTATTCGTTGTTTATGTAATTTGATGTATTTATTTGTAAATTTTCAGAACTCAGAGGTTCCGTGCCACCAATAATAAATGAGAAGCTGGTTTACAAATCTGCTAGATTGAAAGAGACCATAGTTATACCTTGCGTAGCATATGCCAATCCTACTCCGATAAACAGGTAAGACCATTTGATTAAAGATAAATCTATTTTAATAAATAAATATATATCTATTTAATACATATATATAGCTTAGTATATACATATGTGTATTCATATATGTAAAGAAAGCAGAGGTTTCCTTTTGAAAAGCGATTCGATAGTTCCCTCTCTCTTTCTACTTATCTTTTCTCATAGCAGCAAACGAAACGAGAAAGGGGGAGAACTGGACGGGCAGGATTATAGATCGCAGCGAAAACGAGCACTCCAGTGAACAATGCACGTCCCTCTGACGCTGACGTTTACGTTCTTTCTCTATTTTGCTTATATTAATGCTAATTTTAAACATTGAGGCGGTCTAAAAGTATTCCCGTATAGAGAATGCACGCACGGCTGCTAGAAATACGAAAATATTCCGAGTTCATTGACGCGTATCAGCATGTTATATACAAAAAGGATGAGAGAGGAAAAAGGAAAGAAAAAGATGGAAGTAGAGAAAATATAGAGAAAGAGAAAGAGAGAGAGAGAGAGAATACATTTCGTTCGACGTGCTGATTTCCTTCGTATCGATAGCTTTCGACGTTTGCCGCATATTCAGCGTCGAATTTTCAAGCTCGGAATTAGGGTTAATAACGAATCACGGGGTTGTTCTCTTCGCTCCTGAACATTAGGAAAGTTTTTAATTTTTTTCAACTTGCTACGAGTGTGAGAAAATAAGGGTTACGATAATAAAAACAACGAAGGTGAAGTAAAAAGTTTATGTGCGAGAGAGAGAAAGAGAGAAAAAGAAAATGGAATGGAATCTGACGATTGAATAAAATTTATCGGCGTAAATATTCAACCTATAATGTTGTAGTATAGTATACCATAGTTCCGATCTTTCACGAGGAAAACGTAAGAGACGAAATAGATGGAGATGGAGGTTTCCTTTTCAAGAAAATATTTTGTTCACGATCGATCGTTATCCGACGATGTCGTTCACCCGTACTTCTTACTCTCTTTCTTTCTTTCTTTCTTTCTTTCTTTTGCACATTTTTCGTAAGCTCGGTTTTCCTTCGGAACATTTTTTCTTCGTTGGAAAAGGAGTAAAAGAAGTCGTTTTTACGGAAAAGTGGGGAACGTTGATCCACCGACACAGTAGCAACCATTAACGAGGCATTACGTGCGATTCCACGCTTTCTCGATTCGTTTCCGACTCGAATGAGAGAGAGAAAGAGAGAGAGAAATGGAAAAAAGAAAGAGCAGATAGAAAGAAGAGTTGTGGAAAAAATGAGAGAAAAATCTAACAAGAGAAACCGAAAGGAAACACTAAAGGGTAAGAGAAATCGAAATGGAATTGTCACGCGTTTGGTCTTGGCAAAAGGAAAAAATAAATGGTAAGAGGAAAGAAAGAAAGAATGTAGTGAAAAGAAAAAAAAAAGAAAAAAATACACGATTGGCGGTCAAACGGAGTGCTGATTTAAATGCCTATGTGTGACTAAGAGACTGCATTTCATAAACAAAGCATACGAAATTGTCGTCAAATAATGTACTTTACCATCGTCTTTCTCATTGCGTTTGTTTCATTCAACCGCCACGTTTTAACGTTCGTTGTGGTGGTCGTTTGCTACCAAATATGTATGACAAGTATTACGTATTGAGAAAGAGAAAAAGATATAAAAAGATATACAGAGAGGTTGGAATATGTGAGAGAAATACAGAAAAGAGAGAGAAAAAGAGAGAGAGAGAGAGAGAGAGAGAGAGAAAGGAAAGTAACATTCGTAAAAGAAAAGAGAAACTAACAACAAGAATACTAATGTATCCGACAGTCGATTACGTTCATTCGCAAACGAAAATACAAATCCGCCAAAATTCCCTGAGGAAAATCTTTGGAGAATATTCGGCTGAGTGGATAGTTAGAGAGGGAGATTATCGGAGTTAAAGATAAGTCCGTGTAGTTTGGTACGATCTTGTGATTATACTTCTTGTTAGTTAGAGACAACGAGAAAGAGAGAGAGATAGTTATAGCGATAGAAAGAGAAGGAGACAGAAAATACAGAATATAGTAGCAAGGTGAAAGATGGAGAAAGAGGTGGATAGAAGTTTGGAAAACTCGTTACATATTCGATACCGCGTTATATTGCGTTAAATTACGTGACTAGACTCGATACTTAGCCGTGTCGTATGACATTTACGAAAGCTAATAAAGATCCTCTGGTTACGTACGAATTGGAATCAACCCCTTCTCCTTTTTTCCTTATATAACTACCAATGTTATTTCGATATTCGGAGTTTACTTTGTAGCAGAGAAGTATACGCGTGTTTCTCGTGTAAAATATAATTACTAGCGGTAAACAAAAAACATTGTATAATTATCAAAGTCCTCCTTTAATATTTTCATGGATTTTTTTAACAATAATGTATTCGTACTAATTTAAATATATATATTCGTACATATAAAATGAATTTTCGAATATTCGCAGCGAATGTTCAACATTGGTAGTAGTATGATTGATTTTTTCTTTTTGCGATCTGGTAATATCAGCACGTTATAATTTGACTATTGGAAATATATATATTCATATTCATATGTATAAACACATGTGTATATAAAAATATTCCATTTGAAAGAACGTTATGGATAGTTTTTTCTACTGGTCCTGCACGCGATAATCTCGCATTTCGAAATATCGATAAACAGTGAATGAAAAAAGGAAAAAATGAAAAGCATTTCACCATATCGTTTTTCGATTTTCTATCTAAAACAATCCAAAGCGAGTGTTTGTATCCGTTATTAAAATTTGTTTTCCATTGTATTGTTCATTCTCATTATCGATAAACTTTATGCTTTATCTTGTGCGAGAGTAACGATATCAAAATAAATGTAATACTGAAGAGAATATATATATATACATTTATTATATATAGTCCGTAAATACTCTCATCGGGTTTTTTAACGAGAAATAAAAAATTGTCGTTTATGAAATATTTAGTAAAAACATTGAAATAAACATGTATTTTTATGTATATGTATATATATATGGTGTTTTTTTATCTACGAATTAAAAGCAATTAGACGTTCATTTGATTTTGTTCGTTAAGCGAATACTTCTGATTCGTGGGTTACACTACTACATTCGAAAAAAATTAATTTTCGCGAAATGAAATTTGTAAAGAGAAATCTAATATTTCCATCTCTACGAATTTAATAAAAAAAAATATTCCAACAATAAGAATTAATTAGCCAATCGCATAAAAAAAAATACATATATACCTACGTATACTTGTATCTCGCGATGATAACTATGAAAAATCAATTTGAGGCGAGATGTATTAAAACGAGGCGTTTAAAATTACTTTTCATTGGCACATAAAGTCCATCGCTTGTTGTTAAATATATAAAGTAACAAATTTGGTAAAAGGATTGTTTACTTTTACCAAATTGTCCGGGAATTTCTATATGCACGTTATTGTAGGTTATATAAAGTAGAAAAAGAGACGGAAATAGAAATATATATACACGTAGAATATATACTATATTATATATATATATGGAGAATGAGAAAGAGAGACAGAGAGAAAGTACGTGCGTGGATCCAGAAGCAAGGAAGTAGAGAAACGAAGGTATGAACGAAGATGGGTGAAAGATATATAGACGATGGCTCTGTATGAGTAGCGCAAACAAACCGACCGCTGATTACAGAGACTGCTTCTGACAGCCCATCAAATATTCCGCATTTACGTGTACGTCGACGTCACTGGATATTCCCGCGCTTGTGCTCCCTGCTTTCTCTCTCTCTCTCTGATTGTACAGACCTTCCTACAGCTCTCCAGTTTCCTCGTTCTCTCCACCTCTTTCGTGCCTTGACTTCAGAGTACGGAGAAGGAGTGAAAAGAGAGAAGAAAGACCGAGATGGATAGAATGAAAGAGATAAAGAAAAGAGTAGAGAGAGAGAGAGAGAGAGAGAGAGAGAGAGAGAGAGAGAGAGAGAGAGAGAGAGAGAAAGAGAGTTGAGGGTTTGCAGCAGCAGTAGTAGAAGCAGTAGAAGCAGAAGCAGAGCTTTCCATCTCCAGGTTCCTCTCACACTCGAGTATTCCCTCTATCCCACCTCCTTCCCTCGCCAATTTCCCTCCGTAAATTCGATTATCTATAGGTATACCTCCTCGTCGTGCACGTAGCTACTACCTTCCTACCCACCTACCTACCCACCTACCTACCCACCTACCTACCTATACCTAGATCTCTTCCCTAGCTCAGCAGCATTCACATCCTCCTTCCAACTTCGTCTTCTTCCACTCTTCATCCTCGTAGTCGTCGTCGTCGTCGTAGTCCTCCTTCTCTCCACTTCTCGTTGTCGTGCTTCTTTTCCACGCGCTAATCTTCGCTTACCTCTGAGGGCAGAGTAAGCAAGAAACCGTGCCTGGAGGACCACCACGGGTGTTCTTCTCTCACTCTTTGTGGCTTTCCAAACCACACGAGGTCATTCGTTGCGAGAAAGCTCGACTTCTCTGGGAATTGTCGAATAGAGAAAAATGGATAGAAAAAGAGAGATAGAGAGAGAATAAAAAAAATGGAACGAAGATATTGAGTGATTAAGAAAGAAAGAGGTAAATAGAAGTGCTTACCTTTTCTATATTTCACTCTGAATCTACTAACTTTTACCACTTTACCAATCAATTCCGACGAATGGGAAACATTTTGACAATTGTTTTCGACAAAATTAACGTCAATTGTGCGTACATCGGTCGGTAATTTTTATTTATCTCTTCAAACTTTTTAACTTGTCATTTGGATGAAAACAAAATATCTAAATTTATTTCTATTTTTCCTTTTTTAAGTGATACGAAACGAATCAATCATGTTTAGTAAATATTCTGACTCTCTTTCTCTCTCTCTCGTTAAAACGATATCAAACTTTTTGATATACTTGAAATCAGATTAATCGTCAATAAAAATCAAATTAAATTGTCAATGTATTTATTATATATTTGATTTTTTTCCACTTTTATCTGGAAAAATATGAGCTGATCGTGAATAAGTGAATTTTTCATATTTTTCAAAATACAAGATACACGTTGGGACGATGTTATTTGGAATAAGGTATAATATAGATATATATATGTATATACAAGAACAATAAAGAATCACAAATATATATAAAGAAGATGGTAGTGGTGCGTTCTTCTACTATCCAGTTGCGTTTATTCTTGAATATTTGAAGCTTCAGTGACGTCGACTCGCCACGAATCTTTCCAACGGTACGTTGAGTTTTCCTTCGTTTAATAATAGATTGCCGAGAGAGAGAGAGAGAGAGAGAGAGACAGAGAAAAAATGAAAGAGAGAAAAAAATGAGAAGAATGGAAAGAAAAAGTAGACGGCTCGAGAAGTACCTCATACCGCTTGTATCCCTCTCGTAAAAAAGAAAGGTCTTCCTTTTTGTTAATGATGTTAGGCATTAGAATGGATGTAAATAATAACAATTATTGACTATGACAACGATGATGATGATTATTAGAAAGAATAGGAAGAGGAGGATGAGGATGAGGAACAATTCTGCGTTTATTTCACACGATATTTAATCGCGAATGTTTTGAAAACAACAGGACGGTCTATCGCACTGGCAGGCGTGTGTTGCATATCTCCGCAAAATATGTGCGCTTGCATAGAGAAAAGAGAAAGAGAGAGAGAGAAAGAAAGAGAGTATTGTTACGGCATAGTTACAATTCATGGGAGCACCGTGCATTCTCTGTTTTCATTCGAAACCGTAGTTATTTTGTGGTGGTCCAGTGCAACGGAGAGATACGCTTTTCGGTTCCCATATTCGACGAACATTTCCACCTCATTTTCGCAGGTTTTAACATATCGTTCGTCGTTTCAGTCTTTAACTTATGTTATTAATTGTTTTTTTTCAATTAGTTTATTTTTTGTTTGTTTTATCAGCTTCACACTGTCTATTTTTACTTTCAATTTTGTATGCTCGATATATCGATTCACTCGGGTAATATAGTTTTATAATTTTCGAAGCCAAAGAGATACGCCCCGGAGTTCACTATTATATATAGTGAACTGTGTGTGTGTGTGTTATATATCTAGGGAAACATCATGTCTGACATGAGACCGTTAATACACACATGCACCTACACACGTGTTATACTTTTACATCTTTTCATTTTCTCGAGAACGAAGAAAATTCTAGTCCTTCTTATTTCCCGTTTCTCATTTCATCGCTCGATTTCAGATAAGAGAACATTTATATTTACTCAAGGAAACCATCCGAGCGTGGATTTACTTAAGCCCGTTTCTCCGATGCCGAGGAAATCTGTTAGGAAATATTCGATTTCACGCACGCCTTCTCCTTTTCTTATTTCTATTCTAGTGGAAAAAGAAAGTATTTGACCTCGTGAAATATATTTTTGTCCCAGATGGTATTACAACAGGAATCAAAGAGAAGAACCGATCGAAGATACTTCCGGGCACTACATCATTCGAGATGGTTCTTTAATTATACAGGGAGTCCAAGAAAATGACGCTGGATCCTACATGTGCATTGCTAGTAACTCCGAAGGCACCGAGACTTTAGAAATTAGATTGACTGTTTCTGCACCTCTCAGTGTTCACGTCCAACCTGCTATTCAAACGGTCGATCTTGGAAAGCCTGCTCATTTGGTAATTCAATATTTATTTAGAATTAGACAATTTTGTGGATAGTCGAAAATCCAATTACTATGTTATTCACATCGGAACACGGTGTGAATTTAGGCCAACGCCAAAATAAGCTTTACTCTTTGTTAAGTTTCATTGTTTACTGTTAAAACTAGCTTAATCGATTAGTAGCAAATAACAATTGTTCATTTCTCATTAATAGTATATTCGACAATTGAAGGTATTTACAGACTATATATATATATCTTCATTAAATTTTCTTCTATATATAGAAAAGAAATATAAAAGAATATTATCGTGTCTCATAAAAAATATAATTAGCATTTCAATGGGATCGTTCAAAATTCTTTAGGACTGTAGGAAAGAAGGGTCCCGTATTGCATTTCCTCCTTCTTTACTTTTTATTCTCATCGAGGCTTCTTTTCTAAACTCGTTTTCAGACGTGCAGCGCAAGTGGATTTCCACAGGCAGCACTCTACTGGTTGAAGGATGGTCAGCCATTGAGAACGGCCGGTCGCGTGAGCGCAGTTTCGAGGGAACGTATCTCCGTGACGTCGGTTGCACGCGAAGATCGGGGCATGTACCAGTGCTTCGTCAGGAACGAGTACGAAATGGCCCAAGGAATCGCAGAATTGCGGTTGGGTGGTGAGTAGTCTTTGTGCCTTTACCTAAATCTTTCTCTCTCTCTCTCGCGAACAAAATTCAAGCTCGAGGCTAGATTATACTATACTGTACTTTATTCTATTGTACTTGTATTATACGTATTGTACCGAAAATGTAGCCAAGTGATATTCAACGTAAAATCAAAACCAAACTAAATAAGAATCCTTTTCTTTTATTATTATTATTATTTTGTCTCCCTTTATAGTACTTCTTTAAGCAAATATTTATTTCCAAACAAAATTTTATTCCAAGATTAGATTAAAATCGTCAATTTCTTATGTAAATTAGTTTGATTTCGTTAACTCGATTTATATCACAGTGCAGTAGTAATAGTACTAGTAGTATATATAAAATACAATTGTCAAAGAGCAAAAGAGAAAAAAAGACGAACAATTGAAGAGTGCTTTCTTTTCGACGAGTCGATAAGATTGACTGAAAGATAAACGGCCCGGCATGGGGTTTAACTTGGATCGCATTTCGCTTAACTTGATCGTAAAAGAAAGAAAAAAAAAACAAAATTCCGAAGCTTACATTTCTCCATTGCAATCTTCTATCTTCTCTCTCTCTCTCCCTCTCTTTTTTCGTGCTTTCTTTCTTTATTCTTTCCTCTTTTCTCTCCGACTTGGATCATAGCTCGCGATTACCTTGCACAAGCCTCAATTACAATGAAGTCGTATGCAAACTACACCCATTTTTCAACTAGAATTGACGTTCGTTAAATTTTCCTGCTGAATTGCGGAAACGTCTTTCACATTTTTTTAAATCGATTTGCTTTAAAAAAACAATGAATGATAAAAATGAAAATAAAAATACAAATAAAATGAAATAAAATAGAGGGGAGGAAAGAAGGGAGAAGATCGAAGAATGAGCAAGAAATAAGGGGAAGGATAGGGCAAAGATCGGGGGTGGGGAGGGGTGTAGTGGGAGAAAAAGAACAGCCAGGAAAAAACATCAGGTGATTAAGCAAGCGTTTATTTTTTTTTACGTCTTATTTTCTCATTGCTTTTCTTCTTTCTCTCTCTCTCTCTCTCTCTTTTATTTTCTCAGTATCTTTGCTTTTTGAATTTCTTTTTTGGTCATATTGGCGAGTTGTCTAATGCAAGGGAATTGCAAGGCGTCGCTATGGTGAACATTTGTTTGTCGAACGAATGGCTTCGACGGTGATAGCTTGCACGACGACGGTTAATGCAGCAGAACTTTTTTTTTTCTCCCTATAGAATTCCCGCCGGTTTGCGTGGCACTCCATCGTAACGTATTTTCCATCATCATCACGAATCGCTGCGGTTTAGAACGAGAAAGATAGATAGATAAAGAGGGAGAGAAAGAGACAGAGAGAGAGAGAGAGAGAGAGAGAGAGAGAGAGAAAGAAGAGGAGGAAAAAGTGGTAGGGAAAGAAATGGACGGACAAAAGTAGGTGGGGATTTTTGCACGCAGAGGAGAAACCGATTTTGAATGGTCTAGCTTTTTCCAATTGGAACCTTCTCTCGCAGTAGTTCAGCGCCGAAGCAGGAACCATTTGGTCAACGATAATCGCGCGAATACGAGAACCTCGAATGGTTTTAATTACAAAACCCCCATACGCAGCCCATGGTCAATGTGTGCGCGTCCTCCGATAACACGTTACCGACCGAACAACGCCGTTCACTCGGCTTTTGTACTTTCGAACTTGCTACCTGTTTCTGTATTAGCATTACTCTTTACTTTTTCTCTCTCCCTCCCTCTCTCTCTCTCTCTATCAATTTTTCTTTTTATTTCTTTTTCCTCTTTCTCTATCTTTCTCTCTCTTAATCTGTCGAGATTAAAATTTTACTCGTATTCACCGATGGCGAAAAGTTCGAAAAGTTCGATCGTTAAGTGCTAATGGAATTTATTTCTAATGAGTATTTTCTCGATTAGGATCTTTTCTTGTTTTCATTTTTGCGTAGATTAAAGAGAGGTAAAGAGAGAGAGAGAGAGAGAGAGAGAGAGAGAGAGAGAGAGAGATAATTAATATCAGAAGTACGAGAAAGGACACAAACTAACGCGTATCGTGACTCTCTCGTTGTCAAACGAACGATTAAAATTTCATCGCGTGAATTGTTCAATCTTTTTTCTCGCTCTCATTCTAACTCTCAATCGCGGCAAAGTAATATCTGTTCTTTCTTTGTCTTTCGATATGCTAGTCGGTTCGCTCGGATTGTAATTTCGATATAAATGGAAGAGTTAACGTTAGAACAGAAAAAAAGAGAGAAAGCAAAAGAAAAATTATAGTTCTCCCGTATCTCTTTTTTTTTGTTCTCTCTCTCTCTCTCTCTCTATATATATATATATATATCTTTTATTTTATAGGTCAGAAGTTATATTTCGAGTTAAAGAAAAAAAAATACTCCTTTACGATACCATTTGAATAGACGGCACGTTTCCTATTCGTTTGTTCGATAGTTCGAATCCGAAGAATTCAATTAAAATATAATCCAACGAATCATCTGGTTTATCGTCACCTTCTAACACGTTTGAAAAACATTGCGGAATTTATTATATATGACGAAATGATATTTTGCATAAATTACTTTTGATATAGAATATTTATTTTGTTGTTGTCGATATAATATAACTATGATATATATCGTATTTTTTTGTATTTAATTATTTGCTCGCACAATGGTCCATTCGTAGAACGGTGAACTGTTACAAGTGAAAAGGCAATGTAAAGAGCATTTCGATCGGTCGAGATTCACATGGGTACATATATCTGGTTTTGATCGATGCGTTTGCTAATGTATTTTTCAGCGTGAAATTGTATCCGACGAATAACGGTGCTACAGAAAATTGTTATTTTTATACTTTTTCCTTCGCTCTCGATCTATCCCCCTCCGGTACTTTTCTCTTACTAACGTCCAATGCAATATGAATATTTCTAGCCGCGTATCAAATTTACCGTATCACATTTACTCTATCAATATTAAAACTTTGAATTCGTGAAAATAGGTGATATTTTTTTACCTGTTTTTAATTTTCATTTTATTATTTTACTATTATTTATTTTATTTTATTTTACTTTTCTGTTTTCCTTTTTTTTTTCATTTTTTTCCTGATAGGTACACACACGCACACGCATACGCGTTTGTAACAATGCACGCGGCTTCGACGGGAGGTATAAAATTTATTGCTAAATTGAATCCATTTATTTCGATATATGGTGGCAGGAAAAATGAAAGAAAACAAGAAGGAAAGAGAAAAAGAGAGAGAGAGAGAGAGAAATGAAAATCAATCGAACATTGATCCTCGTCGCTTAAGATGGAACGAAAATGACTTCAATTTCGTTACATTATTTAACAACTTTGCTTCGTTAAATTTGTCGGAAACCGATTTCAAAACCGTAAAGTAAGTAATTCAAAATTCGTAAAGTAAGTTTCCACTTGGATTCTGATTCTGGTCATACTAATGGAAAACATAAAGATAAAAAGAAAGGATGGAAGGAAGGAAGGAAAGAAAGGAAGGAAAGGAAGAAAGAAAAACAGTGGACGTATCGTTTGAAATTAATTTCAGATTGTAACGAGAGTTGAACGTAGAGTAGGAGAACCTTTGTCCGTTGCGCCATTATGTCTAATGAGTACGCCCGCAAATTCGGATTTCGCGATGGGGGAATCTCATGGGGATCGTGCGCTTTTATCGCGTAAGTGGATATTCAACGGGACTAGACGTACTCTCAACGTTTTTAAAAAAGAAAAAAGGAAAAAAAATCTTTTTCGCATGAGAATTTCAATTAAATTACGTGAGATATTTCTAAGAGTAGGTATATGTGCCCATCTCTACCTAACTATGTAAAGTACGAAAAGGAATCCTTTTTATTATCGTTTTGGTTAACGAATGATTTTTGATTGCTAACAGTGTAAAACAAAGTGTGAAAGGAAAAAGATAAGAAAAGTTGTATCAAACGATATCATTGATATTGGCAGCTCGTGTTATTCTTACGTCTCATTCAAAAGTTCTTCCTTATAGAGGTAATATACCTATAGGTATACCTTAGTAACTTTCCCGGCCATTAACCCTTACTATAGCATCGCGTATGCTAACTTTTATTATAATCGTCTAAGAGTTGAAATTATCTTTTGAAATCGTTTATAGCTCTTATTCCAAGAAGTTATACTAGGAAGAATGTTGGATAGAAACAATAGTTAAAAAAAAGGAAAAAAAAAGGAAACGAAAAGAATACCTAGAATAACGGCCAAAAGAAAGTACAAATGAAGCTCTCTCTTTCTCTCCTATTTACTCTTCGTTTATCCTCTCTTTCGTTCCTCTTTGGTTTCATCCAAGTTGCCACTTTATTAGATATCAGAAAGCGAAATTATTTTCACTTTTGATTGAGACAGGTAATTGGAGAAATCTCAGTCTAAGAGAAACACCTTTTAAAGTGTCTCGCGATTGGTTACGAATATAGGAGTGATAAAAAACATAAATCAATTGAATCTTTTGATATTTCATACTTTATCAATTCTAGTCCTTTGGAAAGATTCTCTCTCTCTCCCTCCTTCTCTCTCTGTCTCTAATTTATAGTTAACTCAATCAAGGTATAAACTTCCTCTAATATAATCGTCAAGGTAATTAATTAGTAGAAACTCGAATTGTCCTAGGGGAAAACGTAGTTTCCTTTCTCAAGTGATGTGTTTGAAATATGGCTTGGCTAGACTACTGGCGTCGAGAATAGCGTAGTGCACTACTACTATTACTACTCGTTGTCGGGGCAAAGCGCGTACTCTCGCTACTCGTTATCTTTCTCTTTCTCTCGATCTGCCTATCTTTGATATTCGAAAAAGCGTGTCCTCTCTCTACTCAGCCCACTTTTCTTTCATTTTCTGTACGCAAGCAAGAGAGAGTTCGGAAAATCCATTGTCAAAGTATCGACTATTTCTCCGAGATTTGCCGTAGCAAACGATTTGCCGTAGCAAACGAAACGATTTGCCATAGGAACCTTTATCCAGTTCAGAGGCGGAACTAGATCGTGTGTAGAGGGTCTAGAAAAGCTTCAATTACGGTGAACGAAGTTCCCTACCGACGCGACCGTCAATTAGTAACTCTCACTACCGACCTTCAGGGAGGAAGGTGAAGCTGTAGAAGACGAGAACATGTTATAGCGAATGAGTGAGTGAGTTAGATAGCGGAGGACAGGTTCGTATTACCTTGTCATTAGGATTCTTCTCGGCTCCATGATTTCTAAGCTGCAGGGCATCGAGCGTGCATTAGGTATAAGGGGTAAGGTGAGTGCTGTGGAAGATCGCCCGCAGCACGATCGGATAGTTAGTACCGTCACCTTGGATTTGCATACGCTAACGAGATTCCTGCGGTTTTGCCGATGCTTTGCATGCCGCTCTCGACCGGGCACGATCTCGCATCGCCCTGCATTTCTACCGAGTCATCTATTTATTATGCGTCATAGATACGTCAGGGGCTAAACCATCTTCGCGAGAAGCAACTTCTCCTGCAAAAGCGACCAGAGAGAGAGAGAGAGAGAGAGAGAGAGAGAGAGAGGGAGATAAAAAAAGACCTTTCACTTAGAATATATTTTCTTTTATGCACACTTTCACATCGTTTTTATCTTTCTTTCTCTGTGTGTGTATATATTTGCATATAGATATGCGTGCTTTTTTCTCTCGTCCGCCTTTTTTATATCTTTCTTTCACATATTTTTCCTTCCCAGTGTTTTTAGATTTATATCACTCGGGCCAATCGATCGGAAAACAAAATGACTTCTTTTTTCATATATTTGATCAATCAATGAAATGAAAAAAAAGAAATCAGAAAGGAATAGAAAATGATGTTACGTATATTGGATTTGGCATAGTTGTATTACCTACATTGTATATACAAATGCCTTTTGTTCTCTCTTCGAAATCAAACAATAGCGACTCTCAATTAAATTCCTATTCCTATTTTTTGCGATTTCATCATTTTCATTTTATACAAGCATTTATTCTCGCGTCGGAAAATACCAACGTACCCGTCTGTCTGACCGCTCGTCAATTATACTACTAAAAATACGGAGCTTTTGAGAAAAATAAGCAACACCACTCGACCGCTCTACTGTTTTAAACGATCAATTCTCCACGAGTTTGTATTATTCTTTGTTCCTTTATTTCTTTTCCCCTCGTATTCCTTCTTTTTCTGTTTTTTCATTTTCTATTCTTTTTTTTTTTTTTCTACTTTTTCAACTTTTAGTATTAAAAACAACGACTAGAATGTCGACGAAATTATTAAACTACAAGACATTTTCTTTTCATTTTCTTTCCCTTAACTTTTGTTTTCTTTTCTTCTTTTAAAAAGGCAAACAACAAAAAGTAAAAGAATACAGGACGAATAGGTAGTTAACTTATTTTCACTATGTCCACTGTCTACCCTATGTACATTTTTTGTTTTAACCTTCGTTGGAAAAGTACGCGTAGGTTCATTGTGTGTCCATTTTTAAATGCATTTTAAATTGGTTGATTTAAGATACAGGAAACACAAGGTTTTTTTCTTTTGCGCAAAAATTACGTGGTCTAATTGAAGAGGCGTAACTGTTAATTTACTAATGATCTTCTTGAAGAAACCCGCTCTTTTAATAAAACACACGCAAATTGTTGCCACCGAACGAACGGCAATGATGACGTCTTGTTTTCTCTCCCTCTGTCTCTCTTTCTCTCTTTCTCCTCTTTTTTTCTCTATTTATCGAACTCATGTACGGATTTTAATTTTCAAATTAATCCAACGTAGACAAAAAATATATTTCGCAGACTTTATGTGAATATGAAATAATTTCATCGATGTAATTTAAATATACTTTTAAAAGCTTTTAATTGAATAAATATTTTTGTAATAGTATAATAAACAGCTTAGAAAAGAGAGAGGAAGAGTATGAGAAATTTTGTCTTGACAATGCGGATCTTAAGGAGAGGAGGTAGCATTCAGATGTGCGGAAACTATGAATGTATGCGAAAACTTTGACGAGAGTCAACGTTATCTTATCGCAAGGATATGTGTGTGACTCTGAGTTTGTGTGTGTGTTTGTGTACTAGCCTTATAAAGTTCATGAATTTATTAGCAAATGCAAGCTACAGCTCGTTACGCGACTTGCTAAAACGTAAAGTATCTTTGAATGCAGTTTCACCGTAGAGATATCTATATTATTATCCCAGAACATCGGAATTTTTCATCTTTCAATTATTTTATATTATTTTTTTAAACTCATTCATTTTTCTCTGTCTCTCTCTTTCTTTTTCTCTCTCTATTTTCTCTCTTTTTATTCTTTCCTTTCTTTCTTGTTAGGGAATATTGAAATTTCATAGAGAAACCATGTAAAATATAAAATAAAAAATACTCTTGAAAAAGAAGTTATAAAAATCCGATACTATGGTATATTCTATCAGATTGATTTAGATGCTTCTTCTTTCCTCTTTCTTCAATCTCATCTTTCTTATAAAATATTGTAGAATACACGTAGTTTGTTCCAAAAACATTTTTCATTAAAACTCGACCAACTAATTATATGATCTAAGCGTAAGTTTCTATATTCCTAGGAACGACTTCGGTCTGTTTTTTTCTTTTTGATTCTTTTTTCTTCTATTTATTTAATGTAATTGTTTGAATACGGTAGCTAGAAATATATGTATAATAAAGAGAATAGAGATTGTCAAGTAAAAGTAAATTTTCTTACGAATTTAAAAAAGTGATAATAAACCAACGATATAAACACGAAAAAAAGAGAAAGAGAGAGAAGAATAATAAAATACAAGCGGGAGAATGAAAGAAGATTAACAAATATTATTTCCAAGCTTTCAATTGTATATAATCTAAAGCATAACGTTTGTTAACAGAGATCGCACCACAGCTGGTCTACAGGTTTATCGAACAGACAATGCAGACTGGACCATCGGTTTCTCTGAAATGCAGCGCCGCGGGTAATCCTACGCCGCAAATTTCCTGGCTGCTAGATGGATTTCCTCTTCCACAAAACGACAGGCTTCTGATTGGCCAATACGTGACCGTGTACGGAGACGTAATATCCCACGTTAACATCACATCGGTTAAATCAGAGGATGGTGGAGAATACGAGTGTACTGCTAGCAGTAGAGCAGGGGACTCGAAACATTCAGCAAGACTGAATATTTACGGTGAGTTAATAACAGACGGGGGTGAGAAGGATTAATCCGTCCGAGAAGAAAACGTTCGATCGTTTAATCTTTTATTTGGTCGTTGAAGAAAATTGTAATATATATATATATTTTAATTTTATATATCCCCCCTTTTTTGATATTTTATCGAAAATATTCTTTTCCTCGAGGTTTGTTATTTTTGTTTAGTACGTATACAGGATATCGATAAAAAAAGAATATCGAATGATATTTTACGTCCTGTATATTTGCGAACTTGTCACTAGCACTTCATTTCCTTTTATAGATCAAATAGTTTGAGTATAAGTTAAAAGGAATTTTCTATAATTTTCAATCTCAGGATTGCCATATGTCAGACCCATGTCGACCGTCTCAGCGGTCGCTGGGAAGCAACTATATATCAAATGTCCTGTAGCTGGATACCCCATCGAATCAATAGTATGGGAAAAAGGTAAGTTTACTTAAGCCAAGAATTTTCATCGTTGTAGAAAATTTTCTCCACTAAATTTTACAGCTAATTTTGTTTTTGTCCAATTATTAATTACGATCCTGACAGGTAACGTAAAACTGCCAACTAATATGAGACAAAGAGTTGTGAATGGTACTCTTTTCATCGACACCGTACAACGTGCCGCTGATCAAGGCACGTACACCTGCACTGCCAGAAACAAGCATAATATTACTTCACAACGATCCGTCGAAATTCGTGTTTTAGGTGAGTAAACAATTAATCGATCGTTCATTAAACAAAACTAATTATGAAATTCATCAAAACTAATTCATTTCTTTCCCCTTAGTTTATAGGATGATAAATTGTTGACATTTTCCTACTTGTCCATTAAAACTCTATAAGTAAGCCCAATTTTCTCGACGTAACCTGTCAAAAATATTATCAATCAATAGTTTGGCTTTAACTTTCGTATAGGATCTATCCCCAAGTCTTTATCTTTTACGTCTTTCCAACGTCACTTTCCCAAAGTCTTATATGATGGGTTTTAGGGTAAAATAAGGATCATCGAAGTATGATAGTCTTTTACAGGTGTGAACTTAAGAGATGACATTATAAGAGAATCCTTAATGTCACACGACTCTTGTTTTCAACAAATCTTATTATTAAAGAGAAAATATCGTAATTTATCGAGAAAATTGGGATTAAAATGTGTGATTTTTTTCGAATTTTTAGGATGAAAGAAGCTACCAATTTGAAAAATCAAATGAATGATTGTTCCTTAACTATCTATATAGAATCATTCGAAGGATATTATCAATCAAGTTAATCGTATTTGAAGATATTCATTTTGCAACCCTTACTCATTTATCGATCATATTCATTGTAATTTATGTATACATAATCGAGCGGCTGGTTTGACAGACACCACCAGATTTATCTTCATACAATGTTTCTATTAGCTTTACGGGATCAAACGCAGACTCGAGTCTACTGTTTGGACAGATTTGATTATCATGCGACAACATCGCACGAGCCCTACCCAACGAATTCTATGTTTATCGCGTTGTATGCAACTTCCAGGAATTACGTGAATCTTTGAAAGTTCATCAATCTCGATGACGTGATTATTATTATCATTATTCTATCGAGATTACTATGGCCAGGATAAACGTATTTACACGCTTAGACCCACGCACGTTACACTTACACGAATTCTTTGAGTTCTATATTTTTCTTCGAAAAAAAGGAAAATATTAATAGAACAAAAATATCATAACTTTTGGTTACTTACTTTATATTTTAATTTTGAATCGTATTGTTCATAAAATCGATCGATCGCTCGATTCAAACGCGAAAAAATATTCTAGATCGTTTGGATAAGCAATGGATGATGTTAAACGACGTATTCAACCATAGCGTGGCGGAAGAATGTCTTTACCTCAATGCGCTTTCAGCTACGAATCGTATTATCGTTTTACGATAATTAAACGTGGTACAATATGAGAACGAATTAATGGCAAAAGCTCGTTGTACAACGCACGTAGAACGATTGAATGTGTACCTATCTATATATAGAGGGGTGTTAGTAATAAAGAAAAAGAAAGAGAAAGAGTGGGAAAGTGAAAAAACCAGTGATTTGACGAGCGAAAGAACGAAATAAAAAAAGTATATTCGATTCAATTGAAATCTTCCTTCTCTCTCTCTCTCTCTCTCTCTCTCTCTCTCTCTCTCTCCCTCTCTCTCTCTCTCTCTCTCTCTCTTATTTTTCAGTCCTCTTTTTCTCGAATCAAAGGGAATCGAAAAATAGTATGATATGGGAAACGTCAATCGTCTAATTAATCTCATTTTTCAAGCACTACACGAGACGTCATTTGATTTGCTAATATTTCATAAACCAAACAGACGAAACGGATTCTCCTACATCATTACGAATACGAACGGTTGTTGCACTTTCGTCGACTATACTATTACTAGTCGAGGAGGAGGGTCGTTCGTTCCTATCAAAATCGCGACGAGGAAACTCGCACTGCGACGTGCGGAAATGACGCGGACGAAACAACGAATTATCGATTTTGGGTTTTAATCGTACCTTTTGATCAACCTATGCGCTAACTCGCGCGATAGTAATTTACTTTTAGTTTCTATATTTTTTTATTTATCTTTCATTTTACAATTTTCATTGCAAAATACAATAGACAATAACAAAATTCTACAAATTTCACTACAGATTTGTCTCGTTTGACTTGATATTATATTGAAAAAGGTATTTTGTTCATTCTTTTTTTTTGTCTTCTTTTTCTTCTCATACATTTTGTTTTAATTTTCATTTGTAACGCATCTTTTGTTTGAAAACACGATACAAAATGTACAAGACACATTAATGAATTCAGGCCAGGATTCTCGTTTACTTTATAGGAGTGAAAACAAGTCTCCAAAGTTTCCTTAACATTTATCAGGGATTTACCTACATAAACGTAAATAGTTAAGAGAAAAGTAATGAACATTGTTATGCGCGTGTGCGCGTATCTGTGTGCCTGAATGTCCCGGAAATGACCCACGCACAGAGCACAGCACTTCACTTGCATCGCTGAAGCATCTGTCCTTGCACGCGCTCGCCTTAAACCGCTCTATACTACTTCGTATACATATACTATACATATATGTATATTGTGTATATATATATATATATATATATATATATATATATATACATATATATATTTCTCTATCTGTACATATACTTACATATGTATACACCTAATTGTAAGTGCATACATATATATAGGATATGTGCATTTGAAGTTATACGTTAATGTTTTGTCGTGCAAATTTGATGTCTTCTTATTTCAAATTATAATGATTGTGTTAATTACGAATAAGAAAATGATATCTTTCAAACGGTGATAAAATGTTAACTTATAATTTTGAACACGCTGTACGTTCGTGTACATATCTCCTCACCCCTCGAAAAAAAGGAAAAAATGGGAGAAGAGAAAAAAAATAGAAAAAAAAAAATGTAGCATTCCAAACACACGACATACATGAAGCTTCGTTAAAAATTTAAATCAACTTCTTTTTTTTACAATTTGCGAGAAATTTGTTCACTTTTGATTCTAAATTTATGAAGATTTAGATGATAATTAACGACAGCTTAATGTATTCGAGTGCGTGTACAGATTCCTGTGTATATATGTACCGGATGATCGAAACAATGATATGTGTTGATTTTGCTATCATTTTGATTTCTCACATGCATATCGGATTGTTCGAAAAGTAGTTTTGTTTATCGTGCAAATAGTTTTCTTTTTTTTGGCATCTCGTCAAAAAATGAAAAAATCAAATTCAGCATTTTCGTTGTATTATATTTTACTTTTTAGTTAAAGTAAAAAATGCAATGCAAGCGAGAACAAAATTATGTGAGACGATATTTTAAGTGAATTCTAATATCAAAATTGCTTTTCGATATTTCATACATTGGTAAATGCTAATTGTAATTATAATAAAGCGAGAAATATCTGAGAGATTAAATTTATTAAACTCTACAGTTTCCGATCATTTAAAACACTTTTCATTTTTCAATTATGTAAATAATTTTCTTTTATTTACTATTGAAGACAAGGAAATTACCTCTTTCGAACAATCTAATATATTTTTTCTGTATATATATACGTATATATCGCATAAATATTGATATAAATATTATGCTTATTATAGTATATATATATATATATATATATTTTATAGATAAAAAAATAATTATAATTTGCAATATAATAAAAAGTGTACATTAAGATTATATCGCAAATTTGATGAGACCATAAGGATGAAGGCCTCGATCTTAGATGCAATCTCCGGATGCTTTAAAGGATAAAAGTCTCGTGAATGGGGGAAAAAGGAGAGGGAGAAGGGCATTGCTAGGGTATAATAAAGGAACGTTTAATCGAAGTTACGGCTTGTTCGCGTCCCCGATTCGAAATAAAACTTGCTGTCTTTTACATGGCCGATCAACGCATCGACGAGTTTCATGATAGTAAAGGGAAGGTTAAGAAGTTCGAAAAGTAGATCACGAATGAATCCAAGCATCGATAGATCGACTTTTTCTCTATGGTGCCGAGCAATTCGAAAGAAAAGAAACGGAAAAGAAAAGAAAAGAAAAGAAAAGAATAGAATAGAAAGAAAAGAAAAAGAAACGCGAAGAAAAAAAAAGAAAGTAAAGGAAAAAAAAGGAAAAAAAAAAAGAAAAAAAAAGAAAAGAAAAGTAAAGAAAAGAGCTTTTCAATTCGATGGTTGGCTTAAAGAAGAAAATATCAGAGATCGATGTAGTAGTTTTTATCGTGAGATACTTTTCATAAAACGAGAAAACAACTGATAGGAAGTTGGAAAATTGAGCGAGTGCGGCCAGCATAAAATTGCTCTTGTCCATATTTATCCGCTCGTGTACTCTTGTAACAAGTTGCTTTAAGATCAAAGACAGCATTCTTTATTATTAAAGGAATCCTTTTTAATCAAGCATTTAATTACACGCCTCCTTTCTCCCTCTCTCTCTCTCTCTCTCTCTCTCTCTCTCTCTCTCTCTCTCTCTCTCTCTCTCTTTATCTTTCCCTTTTCCTTTTATGCTCTATGTCTTTATATATATCACTATATGAAAGAAAGTGTCAGTCTTTGGTAGATACAGAAAAGATTGTCATTAAGTCGATGGATTCCATAGTCTACTGGTCTCGTCTTATCTTTATCTATCTATTTCTACAGATAAATCGTGCTCAGATATCTTTAAATCTCGTAGAATATCATGTTGCCATTTTCCTCTCATTAAAAAACTTACTAACGTATATCGATGCGTTTCGTAAAAAGAAGATACGATACAGACTTGTTGTTTCGTTAACATGAATATTATGAATATGATAAAGAGAAAATGAAAAAAAAAGAAAAAGAGAGAGAGAGCGAGAGAGAAAGAGAGACAGACAAACAGACAGACAGACAGAGAGAAAGAGAGAGAGAGGGAGAGAGAGAGAGAGAGAGAGAGAGAGAGAGAGAGTTAAAAGATGGTAATCCCGTAGTCGTCGTAAAGACGAGCGTTAATTTCAAGCGGGGGTTAAAAGGCTTAAATAGTAAGAGTTAGGAGGATGAAGTGGAGGAGGTGGTGAAAGGAGTGAAGGAGGAGAGTGGTACCTATGTGGTATTCGACGAAGTTGCTTTCATCTTCGCCAGTGCTGCCGGATAACTGTATATAATCTCGCTTTCTCTCCCATTATACTATAACTTTTCTTTCTCTTTATCACTCTCTCTCTCTCTTTATACGTTTATTCAATCTCCAAACAATCGTTATCTCTTTATACCTATAACCGGTAATGTTTGCGATCGTTTAATATCCTCTCTTCAAACTCGAGACAAAGGATTCCTAAAGACTTAATTCCGGCAGCAATGGTCGAGCCTTTTACTATGTATTATATATACATATACGTATATGCTTGTAAGTAAGGCTTCGTGACTGAAATCGATTGAAGTTTTTGGATAGATTCTTCGAAGTACTCTATTTGGAGTATACTAAATATTCTAGAAGCATACAAAATGCAAGCGTATATATGTTTATGTATTATACATAATTTAGTATTCATTGTGAAAAATTTGAGCTAGCACATAAAATTGAAAAACAGAAAAAGAGGAAAACTCTGGACACCTGTGCTATCATTCTGTCTGTCTCTCTCTCTCTCTCTCTTGCTATCTATCTATCTATCTATCTCTTGCTATCCATCTATTTCTATCTCTGTCTCTCTCGCAGCGTCTTAAAAGAAAAACACTACTGCTTCGGAACGGAATGCCTACCTTTTCTGTTTTCTGTTGTTGTCTTTTCAGTGCCACCTAAAATCACGCCTTTCAGTTTTGCTCGCGATTTAAACGTAGGCGACCGTACTAGCATACAGTGCGTGGTCGCTACTGGCGATCTGCCACTAACATTCACGTGGCTGAAAGATAACGTCCCGATAGAGACAATCAGAACGACGTCGCAGGAGGCGTCATCAAACCGTGCTAACAACGGAGAGAACATCGGTTCGTTTGCTAACAAGTCTCTTAAGAACAGCCCCGGTTCGAAGAAAGGTACTGCCGCCGCCTTAGCAGCAGCAGCAGCAGCAGCAGCAGCCGCAGCCCACGACCCGAGAAAGGCGATAACCATCCGGCAAAATGACGCTTTTATCAGCGCCCTGAGCATTAGCACGATCGCACCCGCGCACAATGGCACGTACACCTGTCGCGTGACCAATGGCGCAGCCACCGTCGCTCATTCTGCACTCCTTCACGTCAACGGTAAACGCACACCGTTGGTGTACTCTGTCTCGTTCTTTATTTATTTATTTTTATTTCCTTCTTTTTTCTTTTTTTTTATCCTTCTTTCCCCTTCTTTTACTTTCTTTCTTCCATTGGATTATCCGGAAAAATTGTCCTTTTAAATTTTCTTCAAATTTCGGTACAAACTTTTCCAATATATTTTCTTTTCCTTTAATACATTACTGTGATCTTCCTTGTCGCTGACACGTGTCTTTCTCGTCGAGCGAATTCTTTTGACGTCACTAAATGTCTTCCGAAACCTTTTTACTATCCTACCCTCAACGAGACGACACGTATCCTCGAGATAATTTCGCAGCCGTGTGTGCATTCGCCAAAATTCAGCCGTATTTTTATTTCTATTACGTATATATGTCACCGTTAAATTGTATAATTCAGTTAATTCATGAAATATACTTACTCTTATGCAAAATAACTAAGCATTTTAGGGAAAGCATATAAAGAGAATTTTATTATACACTTCAAATATTTGTTTTATGAAATAACTGGATAAAATAGGAATTCACAAGAAACGAATAGTTAAAGTATGGGATTGGAATTTAATCCGTCCTTAAAGTTTGCTTTTCTTTCAACGTCACTGCTCATAATTATTCATTCCTATCTCTTACTGTACTTTGAAAAATATCCTTCTATTATTTGTACTATTCTATCAAATGTAATCTATGGAACAAATTTCAATTGCATACGCTAATTTCTCGTCATTCGAGAATTCGTATATTATCTAATTAAAGTATGTAATTCGATCTTTTTTCACATTTTAACAGACCAGTATAGATATTTCACGAATAAACGGATTTCACGTTTTCTAGGTGACGTGTATACATATATTATATTGATTACTTTCCGACGTTTAACAGAACCCGAGAGAACACGTCTGAGAATGTACGAGATAGTTCACGCGTCTGTTAGTTTTCGTGTATCTTAGTTTGACAAGGTTTTGCTTTCTTTTTTCTTCATTTTTTATTGCCTTTGAATAAAAGAAATACAAGGAGTAAAATCTGTAGCAACGACGAAGCTCCCGAGTTTGATTTCTTCTTTCGGATATTTTCTCTCTTTTTCTTTCTCTAGAGATTTTCAAATATCTCGTAAAACTCGTCGAAACGGAAGCTTTTTGAAAATTCTTCTCTTGAATTCGGCTCCGTTCTAGCGAACACACGCGACAAATTGCATCCTTTTTTAAGTTTTCTTTATTTCTTTGTTCCTTTCTTTCTTGAAACATCGCCGAAATCGTATCGACGATCAACGTACATATATAAATATATAGATCGTCGTAACGATCTATCGGTTTAACTTGAAGTTAAAAAAGAAACAAAAATAAAGCGATCAATTTCTGCTAGACGTTTGTTATCAAAAGCAGTTGCACGCTGGGAAAGATCGGCACGTCGTCTTCGTGACGTATTCAATAATAAACCTTAAATTGTGATTCGATATTATATTGCATCTTGATCTTCCGCATTAGCATTATCGAAAAGATTTCAATGACAATTGTAGACGCGTATATAGTGATTTGTGAAAGAAATGAAGAGAGCCTTATATGGGAGAAAATAAAATACCTCGGAGTCGATAAGACTTGATGCAATTTCTCATTCAAATCTTATTAAATTCCAATTTGTGCTACTTCAACATCAACGAGCTGAAATTATTCCTGAATCTGTTTTAACGAAGTGCGTCATCGTATTCGACGTGCTACGAATATTCATTCTATTATCTTCCAATTTTCTTCTTCTATCTATATATCTGTCTATCTAACCATATATCTATCTATCTATCTATCTATTTATCTATCTATCTCTTTTGTACTGTATTTCATTCTTTCCAATCCTCTAACTCACTATGCGTCTATACGTTTATTCTTTCTTTTGTGCTTCTTCTATTTTTCCTATTTCTTCTACCGTATACTATACTTCGAACCATGCACGCTGTTTTCTTGCACGCCTAATTGCACGCTTCGAACGGATTTACATAACGAGATATACTCTTTTATATACTCTTTATATACTATTCATATATAAACACACACACACAAGCATATCTATATATTATATATATATCTATATACTCTTTGCCAGTATTTTATTATCTCGTTACTAACATTTTTAATGTATTCGACCGTTGATTAAATATGTAGAAAGTATTTCGCATCGAACTGTAACATCGAGATTTCTTTTTAATTTGGATCGAATTAATTTGTATCTTTTTTTTTTTATTTTTAACGGACCTTAATCTTTCAAAACTTTGAAAGCTTTTCTTTTAATTATTGTATTAAAATGCTCGATGTTGCAACGAGATTTTATCGTTCGTATTAACTTTAAATCCTCGCACACATGTATGCATCGTCCAACATTGACATATATATATATATATTTTCATCAGGAAACACGTATCCATATGTTTTTGATTGAGTACTTGTATTATTGACACTTAATCCATTTGATCACGCACACACGTATATTTTCATATATAAACAGGATCGTTTGTTGAAAACGATCGTCATTACGTTTCCCAGTAGGAGTCGTGTTACGTTTGTTTATTCGTTCGTATCATCGTCAATTTTATTATTACTCGTTATTGTGTTGTATGGTTATATCATCACACGTCTTGAGCAATCCTTTGATTCAAAACTTATAACTTATTTAAATATACATATATATATCCTATTAATGTAGAAATGAATTTTTCGCAAGAGGAGTGGTCTTTTGTATTTTTTGTGTAACATTCATCGTCATCACAGTATCATCCTAATTATTAACCCATTCGTCGTTAGATTGACAACGATCGTTAGTCGAGCAAGTAGTAAAAGAACCAAAATTGATCGGACAAAGTCGATGTTAACGATCTCGATCAATCTATTTATCTCATCGTTTGTCATTTTATTCAAAAAATCGAGAAAAATCGTTGACGTCACTTTATTCGGATCGTTTACTTCTGTCCTAAGATTTTCATTTCTTCGACGATCACGCAGATATTGGTAAGTAAATCGGATTAATAACATCAAATATTTTCTTTCAGTGAGACAATTACATGTGCTAATCAATAATTATGTTAATGTTATATTTATATTTATACATATTTATTATATACTTACAAATATATCTACAGGTACATTATTTAAATAATATCAAATGTATATTCACGTGTCTCGTTGTGCATATTTTAATGCAATTAGTTAAATGATCTTTTAGTACTTATGTTAAATGAAGCGAGATACAAAATGTTATAAATTGTTTGAAAAGAAAATGATTGCGTTAGGATATGCTCATAATTACGACGAGAATAAAAGGAGGAAAGGAGAAGCAAAAAATGCTAAAAACAAAAAAGAAAAAATAAGGAAAAATGAGAGAAAGGTGAACACAAGTCTGATGCTAGTACTTAGTGTCTCAAGCCACAAGGATATTTGAACTTGGTTGAAAATTTATGAACGTGTTCCTCGTTTTCTCGTATGGCTTATCTCAACGTGGCTCGACCAGTTTCGTCATAAAGACGTATTGGACGACATTAACAGTTGCGCTCGGTCATAAATGTTCATTTTCCCTGGTAACGTGATCCGTTCATGGTAAACGTGCTCACCAAAGCATCTACCCACGTTTACACTACCCACTTTTCATCTTCTTAGACCATATTACACATATTTATGACCGAGAGAGAATTTTCCCTAGACTTTATTATTTTTTTTAGCAACCGAGCAACGGATTCGTTTTTGAAGATTACGACGAAAAAAGTAGGCAGGAAAAGGATAACGGTTTTTCTTTTTATTCTCTCTCTCTGTCTCTCTCTCTCTCTCTCTCTCTCTCTCTACACGTTATTTGTCGCTCTACCAACTGAACTAACAATGTTGAAATCAGCTAAAAATAGCCAGTTTATTTAGTCCACTAACTAGTTACTAGCGTGTCCCATGAAAAGGCTAAATTTTTCATCGGTTCTTATAAAATGAAGTTCATTAGATTGCTACGTACCGAGTAAGGTTATTGAATTATTATCGCTTCTTCTGTCCGACACGTTATTTCTATCATACTTTTATTCGTATTCTAATGTAATATATAAATTGCGTACTTAATTACCTCATACATTCATATTCAATGTGAACTTATTTAATCTGGACTTAGGTCAAGTTTTTTAAGGATATTAAAAGTATGAAATAAAATTGTAGGAATGCGAATTTGCACGATAATATCGATATAAATAAAATCGTTAATTAATAATTATAAAAAAGAGGAATAAAAATCTTATGTTAACAATTTAGTAACGACGTGTCGTTAAAATGTAGTTTCTCTCTTTTTTTTTCTTTTCTTTTTTTGTGACAAATATAAAAAAGTGATCGAAATCGAGGATAGGAGAAAAGATTTTGTTGAAGAGTAGCGAATATAAACGAGATACATATTTGCGGCGTGTTTCCAACACTTTGTGACCTTCCATTAGCTCTTACAATGGACAACGACGACGACAACGACGACGACAACGACGACGACAACGACGACGACAACGACGACGACAACGACGACGACGACGACGACAACGACGAGGAGCAAGTATAACGAGACTTTGCGGTTGGAACTGACTCCGGTGCGTACCGAAGTAGAGTAGTCCACCTCGGGCTGTAGACAGACAGCGAGCAGGAAAATAATGTCACGTTTCTCGTGGCACATAGCCTGGGACAAAGTTGTTAAAGGTGGTTGCGACAACAAAAGGATAGAGCAAAGCCATACATACGTGTTCTGTTATTTTAACCACCGAGTTCCTCTTTCCGTTCTTTTCTTTTCTTCTTTTTTTTTTTCTTTTTCTTTTTCTTTTTTTTTTTCGCGTTAACTCTTTCTCGAAAGACATATTTCATGACATTTTATATCGCTTTGTTCTTTATATTATTACACACGAAACAGAGTAATATAATCTGCGATCATTTACGAGTAATCAAGTGATACTCGTAGAGAGACTATTGAAAGAATTCAAAATTGATTGAAATGTTA